ATGACTGCAGAACCTGGAAAAGCTGTTGCTGCTATTGATGCATAACATACTATTATTAGTCTTTTTATATAAATAAATAAATATATATATGTATACATATATATATAAATTGAATTTTGGGAAATTTTAATGGTGCTGCCAACTTTGGAAAAAGTCATCCCAATTTACTGTGTTGACTTGGCATTGTACAGAAATGGACAGCCATATTGGTCTAGAAATGTTAATTTATTTTTATTTTTATTTTCTATTTTTTTTCCATGTGTACAGGGGTAACACATCATACTAAATATGTAAGTTCATATCTACGTGGGTTTGATTACAGAAACTAATAAAGTATTCTCTAAATAATGAAAAAAAGAATAAGATAAGACTATAAGAGCGAGAAGCAATTTAAATATGATCAGGGACCATTTTCGTCTCCAGAATTAAGGATCATTTTAATGTTACATCATTGCCTTTTCTATTTCACTTTCCTTTTTAGTTTTATTTTAGTAGTCCCTATTTTTAATGTTCATACAGAGATTTCTTTAACTGAAATAGCTATAATAGTACACAGGATCCTAATGATATAATTAATAATATAGTCCCTATTTTTAATGTTCATGCAGAGATTTCTTTAACTGAAATAGCTATAATAGTACACAGGATCCTAATGATATAATTAATAATGTGAAATAGGAAGTAAAGGGCTAAAGGTGTAGGGAAAGTGGGAAGGGTGGGGGAAAGGTAATAAGGGAGAGAAAAAATATGAGAAACTGAAAAAATGGAAATAAAGTGTTTGTAAATGGGGAGGGGAGGAGGGGGTGAAGAGAGGGCAGGGATAAGGGGAAAAATGAGAATCAATAGCTATTATGTAAAAGTACAGAATCCCAATGATGAATGTAATTGTATTGTATACCTAGATTGTGCCAATAAACTCAATAAAAAGAAAAAAAAATGGGCACCTTCATGAATTTTTTTTTTTTTTTTTTTTTTTTTTTACCAGGGATTGAACTCTGGTCCTTTCGCTTGCAAGGCAGGCAGCGGAACCACTGAGCTAAATCCCGGGGCCTACTTTCATGAATTTATGCAACACTGTTACCTATTGCAGTAGAGGCAGTGGTGTGTGTGGGGGTGTGCTAGGAATTGAACCAAGAGCTCACAGGTTAGGCAAGGGCTCCCCACGGAGCTACAGCCCCAGAGCCTCTGTAAATGTTTAGTGAATAAATTGATGAGTGAAATCATTGGCAATTTGCATCCTATTTAGAAACGATCACAATTTTTTTGTTATCTTTCATTAATACCTACCAGCGATAGATTTTCTACAACCACTTATCTGTTTACTCTCATTTCCTGAGTTTCTTAGCAAACTTTTTAAAAAGCAACCCACTAAGGGAATGGTGTTTTGAGTCTATGTAAAATCCTCTCCATGTGAGCATCTAAATAGACTGGGGTCTCAGGGTTGCCTTCTTTGGAGGCTGGGGCTGCTTGGAGCCAGCAGGTGGGGACCAGGGAGGCCAGGCTTCTCTCTCAGCCATATTCTCACTAGGATTCACTCTTTCTCTGTTTTCAGTATCATTATCTCACTCCCATATGGTTTCCCAAGAGGCAAAGCAAATATTAGTGTAACTATTTCTTTGCAAAAAGAAGCCATTCAACCCAATGAATTAGGGTCAACAGTGATGGACGACGTTAGGACAAGCTGACTTCACAGGAAGTCAATGTTTTCAGGCTCCTCTGAGTGGGTTCCTCTGCAGACTTGACTCCTCTGCTCAGCTTGAGGCTCCCACAAAGGAGGTGATAGACCCAAGTGGAAAACGGAGAAGGACCCATTTTGAAGAAAGCTGGAGGTTAAAAGCCCAAGGCTGAGAGAAGAGAATCCTGGCTGAAGATCTGCTGGGGACTTTCCCACGGTGAGAAAATGTTAGAGTGATGTTAACGACCCGTGACCAAAGCCTTAGTATATTTTGTCAACTTGCTAGCATAAAATACCAGAGACTAGAGCTTTGTAAAGAGAAGAGGTTTTATTTCATTCATAGTTTGGGAGACTGAAAGTCCAAGCATAGGAGGGCTCGTCTGCTGAGCTGATAGTGAGAGTCACTGGTTGTATCACAACAGAGCAGAAAGCAGGAAGAGAACCACCGTGTGCAGAAGGGGCCAAGGGTACGGAGGGGCTGTGCCTTGAGACAACCTTGGAACTAACTTAGTGAAGCCAGTGTTGATCCTTCTTAGGGTGGGGCCCTGAGACCTCGTTACGTTGTACTCAGGTCTCTCCGTTGTTCCGCCACCTCTCGGCACTGTGCACAGAGACCTTTAGGGGACAAACTCAACTCACAGCAAGCACCAGACAGCGCTTTCTCCTTAATGTCACCCAATGATTAGAGAGTTGTAAAGGGACTGGCTCGCTCGCTCACAAATGAACTGCTTCTTTATGTCTGTCTGTCACCTTCCTCAGCTCAGGCACCTCAAGTTTTGTGTCCAGGCTTTGAGACACTGTGGCAAGACCTTACGTGGGCCCAGCTTCCAGACTGCCTGCTCGTTCCCCTCCTGTCTGGGGGGCTTTCTTACTTCCCGTCCCTGGGGCCCAGTCACCTTGGGTGTTGGGGACGCTGCCTGTGATGGACCTCAATTTAGTCCTAGCCTTTGCATCGTCCTTCTGTCCACCACAGGCAGTAAACTTTCAGGCTCCCTAGCATGAGGCTCTTGATGGCTTTGCTGATGGGGGAATGGAGTGAGGCTGACGGAAGAAGGAGGGGAGTCAGGGCACCTCTCCCCTGCTCTGCGTTTGTTGGCACCATGAGCAGTAACTGCGTTAGTTCCAGTGTCCACAGAACAGCTTTCACGTGGCCTCTGCTTCTGAGGGCCACTCCTCACTCTGCGGAGTCAGTGCCTCTGGCTGTGCTAGCCAGGGTTCTGGCCTCTGCCAGCCAACACTGGCTGTGGTCTGGGCTGAGAGGCCTCGCGCTCTTCCTAAGCTGTGGTCTCCACCATGCCTAATATGGCTCCGCATCTCCTCTGTTATCTGCAGAACCAATTCCTGTATTAAACTCCCCTGGCTGAAAAGCCTAGAATGGTCTCACCGTCCTGACTGAGCCAAGCTGAGCTAGCTGTGTGTGCACACAGCACCCTTGAGAAGGTGCACAGAATCCCATCTGGTGCTCAGGTCATTTGGCTGTAAAAATCCCCCACAGTCAAGACCTCAGCTTTACCTGCTTGAAGTGGTATAGAAAATACAGGAGGTGGAAGAGGAACCAGACACGGGTTCACGGTTCTGGTCTTGACCTCACTCTCTTCTCCCTCCTCTGAGAGGAGCATATCCTCCTCCCACCTTCCTTTCCTGCCTTGATTAGTTAGCAGGACCAATGCCTTTCTGCTGGCATATCAAAAAAAAAAATAGTTTCTCATCTGTCCAGCAGAAACTCTCATTGTTAAGCAGGATGTAAGGAACCAGAGAGAGAGAGAGAGAGATCACAGTGGGACTTCATTTACAGCCACTGAGAGAGAAGGTAGTATGGGCCCTAACTCCCTCATGTTGTTCCTGACATGCCCCTGAGAACACAACGCTGGCACACACACCTTCTGCCACAGCTTCAAGTGGAAATGGCCCTCCCAGTAGGAGAAGCCATCAAGGTCAGGGCCTGGACTCCAACTCTTTGCCTAGAACTCCATCATCTTCTCTCTGGAAATGGGCTGTGACTAGAGACATGGCCAGAAAAGAGATGGGACCAGCAGCCAGGCATGGAGCAGCCAGGATTGCCTGCGCAGAGGCCCAGAAGCAGTTTTGGCAACAGAAAGAGAGAAACAAGTGATCAAGTAGGTTTATTACCTTCTTTTCTATCTCTGTATCTATTGATGCTTGCTATGTGTCACACCGGGCTGGGGGCGCCCATGCCTTAGCTCATCTGAGCATTAGCGGCAGTCCCAGGAGTCAAGTGTCATGTTCGTTCTTTCTTTCTTCCTTCCTTCCTTCCTTTCTTTCTTTCTTTCTTTCTCTCTTTTTTTTTTTTGATGCTGGGGATTGAACTCAAGTCCTTGAGCTTGCGAGGCAGGAACCACTGAGTTAATCCCCAGTCCTTCAAGTGTCATTTTCAATTGCTGTTTTACAGATGAGAGAAGCAATGCGACATGCCAAGGTCACACTGCAGCCTATGGCTCATGTTGCAGAAGATGCTCTTGCCTATAATCCCAGCACTGTGAGAGGCTGAGGCAGGAGGATCACAAGTTTGAGTCCCGCATAGGCAATTTAGCAAGACTGTCTCAAAATAAAACAAAATTTTCAAAAAGGGGAGCTGGGGATGTAGCTCCAGGTTAGAAGGCCCTGGGTTCAATCCTGTTTCACACTCTCAAAATAAGCATCTGGTGAAGCCAAGGTCAGCTGCTGAGGAAGCAGAGTGGACAGAACCAACCCCAAACAGCGGAGATGTGCTGAGGTGGAAATTGGGACAGAACACAGAAGCATGACTGGGGGAGGGAGGATCCAACTGGAGGGCATGCTTGCTCTGAGAAACAGGAAGTCAGTGTGTCTGGAAGGGTCACAGAGCCCCCCATGGCCTGGGGTTGTCCGCATGACGCTCTCCTGATTCCCTGTGTGGCACAGGCTTGGTGGAACAAGTGCTGAGTCCTGGGGCCTCCTCGGGGTTAGGGGACACCGCCAGGGTCCAGGACCTCTGCCCTCAAGAACTGCGGGGCAAGGGGTAGGAGGATTTTTGTCCAGATAGAGTGATCACCATGTGGCCAAGAACAGTGAACAGATTGTGGACACGGCACTGAGGCTGTCAGGGAGGACAGAGGAAGCAGGAGGCGAGAACTATTGTAAGGGCAGCAGGGAGGGGGAGCAGGCTGGAGCCTGAGGAGTTGGCCCGCAAGGCTGTCTGGGCCAGATCATGAAAGGTCTGGACTGAAGGGGATAGATGGTACTAACATGGGATTCTGGTTCGTGAGAATCTACCACACGCTTGGCACCTTGACAGCGTCGTCTCAGAGACCAGAGTGCCCTGGGAACACTGCTCTCAGGAGGCCCCAGGCTCCCTTTGCACACCTGTGGTGATCAAGCAGTATAATGAGTCTCACTCTGCAATTCCTTCCTCCTCAACGATTAGCAAGAGATTTTCTTTAGAGGACCCCCTGGTTCCCTTAAGGACAACACCTATCTCACCCACAAGGTGGCTAAACACAAAATTACCATTTCCTCAAGAGAAGTGCCACTCCCTGAAGCCTGGGGAGATGGAACACAGAATAAGTCAGGGAGGTGGGAAACTGGGTCCTAATCTGGGTTGTCACCAGCCGTATGACCCTGGCCAAGGCACTTCCTTTCCCCAGGTCTTGGTTTCCTCATCTATAAAGCAAGGAACTGAAGAGTCTGCAACTCCCAGAGTCTGTGCCCATGAATAGGGTGGGAAAGAATGGAAGTCGCTTTAGTGTCCACACGATTGTTAGGCTTTGGATGGGAATGTCACCCAGTGGCCTCGTGCCCTCATCGGTAGGGCTTTGGGAAGGTGACTGGACTGTGGGCCCTTAGTGCTGACAAGTACTTAGGAGGTGGGGCCTGGTTAGAGGTGGGGCCTGTGGGTGTGGCCTGGAAGGGTGTATGTCTTCTCCCTGGCTCCTCTCTTCTCTCTCAACTTCCTGGCCGCCATGACATGAGCCGCCTCTCCAGGCCATTCTACCACGCCACCGATAATGCAAGCACTGCAGCCTCTAAAACTGTGAGCCCAAATCAGCCTCTCCTCCTTCTAAATTGTGTGTCAGGTATTTTGTCCCAGCAACAAGGAAAGTGAATAAGACATGGACACACGCGTAAGGAAGGCCCCTGACATCCAGTTGTCACAAGAGGGGCAGAGGTGTGGAACACCCAGAAAGAAAGGAACCCAAAGCTAGGGTGCAAGGGTCTGGCAGGACCACACAGAAGGTTGGGCAGGAAGGGCAGCTGTGCCCTGCAGGTGAACAGGACAAGCAGGGCCTTCTAGGGCAACCTAGGTGGGAAGCAAGTATGTGTGGTTCAAACCTAGGTGGGAAGCAAGTATGTGTGGTTCTCAAGCAAGCAGGGGCAGAAGCAGGGGGAGGAAGCCAGGGAGAGACTGGGCTGGAAAGTTCACGCATCCATCACCTGCTCAGCAGCTGGTGGCAGGCTGGGTACAGCACTCCAGGCAGATCCGGAAGAGGCTCCCTGTCCTCCTGTCTGCTCTTTACCTCCCTGCAGAGGCAGAGGAGATTCATCACAGCAGATGAGCAGTAGCACCTGGGGGAGGGAGGTGGAAACAGGGCTGCTGTGGGAGTCACAGAGGGCCTTGAGTGGCACAGGACACTGGACGCATGCTGTCTGCACAGGTAATGCCACGCTGCGGCCTGAGTGTGCACAGCGTAAAAAACCATTATCCTGGCCAAAGGGAATCAGAGACTGGGTGGTGTAGATTCAGTGCCCTTCCAGACCAGGAAATAGTTTAACTTCTTAGCTCCAAATGGCTCATCCTTGCCAATAGGATTGGCAGCTTCAGGAGGGCGCAGGCATTGTCTTGCTATCTGTATAGTCCCCTAAACCTTTGGCATCTTGCTCTAAGGTGACACAGATCTGGATCCACTCCCAGATAGGCTCCTTGCTGCTGTGTGACTCAAGCAGCCACTTGCCAGGTGAGCGGGGCTGGTCAGGCCCAGGCCAGAGTGTTGGGGGTTTATGAGGCTCTGCCTACAAAGTGGCTCCTGGGGCTGGGGATTTAGCTCAGTGGTTCTGCCGCCTGCTTCGCAAGCCCAAGGATCGGAGTTCAATCCCCGGTACCAAAAAAAAACAAAAACAAAAAAAAACAACTGCTAACTATAAAGTGGGTCCCACTCCCCAGCCCTCCTCCTATGACTGTTATCTCTGTGCCCCATGAGTGGGTGAGGAAAATCTCTGGGTTTCCAGATGTCTTTATCTGTAACTCAGCTATTACAGCTCCCCTTGAACATCTCAGTGCCCAGTGCTTCCTGAAAGATGGGTCCCCAGCTGCTGGCTCTTCAGAAACTCTCTTGGCCCCATGACCCGTGGAAATGGTAGGAAGGTGTGGTCCTACGTGCTTAGACTCTACGACTAATAGAGGAAGTTCATGGATCCTTCTAGGGATGGGCCTCACCGTGGTCCAGGAGCTTCTGAATTGGGTGTAAAATGCCACACGTACATCTTCTGGGAGAAAAGTCCATGTTAATTACCATTTTAACTTACAAAATCAGTTTGCTATCCTACAGTGTTCTTTTTTGAAGATATAATATGCATACAAATATGGCTGTTTATAAGTAAAAATGTTCACCGTATGATTTGAAGGAAAAATTCTGTCTGTTTTTAAAACGATATGTTCAGTCCGATCCTGGAAAGGAGAAGAATCATGTTAACAACGATTCTCTCTGAGTAACAGATCATGGATGATTGCTTTTATTATCTTGGCTAATTCAGTATTTCTTCTTTAAATGAAAAAAGGTCACTTTAAAACATTTGTCTCCTTTATGGTAAATAACAATCATTCTCAATTTCCTCTTTTCTCTGGGCTCAGTTCAGTCCTATCTAATTTTCTCAGATCATACAATCTCTCGTCATGCGTTGATCTTTTAAATAATGGAAACGGTCATTATCTTAGATACAATAATATTTAGCATCTCTAACTCTCTTGCCTTTTTGCTGAAAATGTCTCATCTTGTTTAGCTACCCATTTCTCAAGGGAGCTTTTTAGATCATCACGCAGAAACCAGTAAAGCCATTGTACTAATTTCCTTAACCTAGGATAGCTGTTCCTTCCTCGAGGGTTTGAAACTCCAAGCTTGGCATGACATAGATGTTTGTGGAATGAAATAAATGAACATTTGTGAGTTGACATCATCCTCCAGCTGTGTGTTTTATCCAAGAAATGAACAAGATCAGAATTTAAGGTAATGATTTCAATTCCATAGCAAACCCTAACAAGGTTGAGATTACAATGTCCCATTGTTTGCTCGGTCTTCTGCAAGTTCCTGCGCTGTCGCTTGTGGCTCCTGTTGTTAAGGATTTGTGTTATTAAAGTAATGGACGTACCTGGGAAGAAATAGCCCAGAATCGCTGATGACAGTTGGCTTCCGTCCCACTCTCCCTGCCTCAGAAGCAGCCACTCTGCCTACTGTGAATGTCAGTTCCCTCGGTCATGAATCCCATGCTTGGGGACATCTGGTGACTCGGGCTATGAGATGTGACTGACTCACCCCACCTCCCCTCCACCAGTTTCCCATAGGTGTAAAATTAGGGTTCACTAGAGGAACAGATTTAATACACAATACACTAAGAGTTTACAAGGCGGGCTTACAGTGGAGCAGCAGAGTCAGGGGTGGAAAAGTGAGGAAGGGCGGCCTGTGCACTGGAGAGCTGGGGATCCAGTCAAAGCTGGAAGGCGTGGAGCTCACTGCAGAGTCCCAAGTGAGTTCACACGAGGAAGCTGAAAGGTCTGCACTGGAAGCCTGGGGACTGATGTCCAAAGGCGATGGTCAGGACCGGAGCTCCTCCAAAGAGGCAGAAGTGCAACTTCCTTCTCCTCCCCTTTCTGTTCCACTCAGGATACAGGCGGACTGCCTGGTACCACCCACACCCAGGTGGGCGGGTGGGTCTTCCGTCTTCAGCGAGTCCATCATTTACTTCCAGAGCTGTGCTAAACAAATCAGCAGGGTATTTTTTTCTTTTTTGGTACAGAGGATCAAACTTGGGACCTTGGGCTTGCGAGGTAGGCGCAGTGCCACTGAGCTAAATCCCTGGCCCAGTGGGGTATTTCTTATTGAAGTTGACATCATAGTTAACCATCCCATAGCCCTAGTAGTGCTTTCACTTGGTCCGTTGGTTACCTTTGAAATTTATATATTCAGCCCATCATTTCCTGCCCATCTACTGGCCCTACTCTCTTCACTCTTCACTTTGTAAGACAGAAAGAACCTTTGCCATTTTCTCTAACCTCTTCCTAAATTCCACACTTCATCTTTTATCAGTTACTTTTAAAGAAAAAGGAGAAGGAAAAAAAGAGCAACAAATGTGTTTTTGTGCAGCACAGCGTAAAGTGCATTTAAAAGCACAGGTCGATGGATCTTCCTAAGCAGAGCACACTGGTGTAACCAGCATCTTGGTCAAGAAATAGAACATTAGCCGGGCGTCGTGGCACACACCTGTAATCCCAGCACTCGGGAGGCTGAGGCAGGAGGATCACTGTGAGTTCAAGACCAGCCTGGGCTACATAGTGAGTTCCAGGT